TATATATATATAAATATGTATGTATGTAGAAATCAAGCGACCGGAATATGTATGTATATATTTGAGGCTTCTGGCAAAAATCATCTCTCCGTTTCCGTTCTATCCACACCGCCTACGTGCCCTTTATATATGTACCACGTACAAGATTGCAAAGCCTTTGCGTTAATATCGCGTGCATCGTGCCATGGAATAGAACGAAGCAAGAATTCAATGACATGCCGCTGTTGTTGCTGCTAACCTTGCCTTCTAACATCATACTCAGGCTACATACTTTCTTTAAACGACGTCGATTAGCTACATTATTATCAATATATATATATATATATATAATAAAAGTCTTCTTTCATAAGCGAAATATTTTTTTTTTCATCTTCTCTCTTCTTTTCTTTCTTTTCATTTTGTTTTTTTTTTTTTTTTTTGTTTTTTTTCCACTCAAAGAGCAACGTTTATCGATACCATAATTAGTATAATTCCACAACGATAATACAGTTCTCTCTTCGTTATCTCAATTCTTTTCTATAACTCTTCTATATATCACATATTTATACTGATCACAAATCTCGAAAGAATTTTATATCTTTCTACGAATTGTTTCTCGTATAATTTAACTTGGCAAAAGAACAAATTGTTCGATACTATTTAAAAATTCTACTTTTTATTTTTATCTTTTCTCTCTCTCTCTTTTTCTCTCTCTTTCTTTTTCGATATATATATATATATATATATATATATATATATATATACACATTTAAATAATTTTCTATACATTAAATTATATATCCTACTTAAAGCTCATTAACAAAATTGATATTAAATTTATAAGAATAAGAAAAAAAAAAAATGGAAAGAAAAAAAAAAAAAAAGAAAAAAAACGAGACTGTATTTTTGATCACTTTAAAATTATTCCTATTATCGAGACGTACAATTGAACAGATAGAAATGAATGTTACGAATTTATCGAATAATGTAATCAAATTGTACGTCAATGCTTTGCTAAATTAGTAATGGAATTAATCATAGGGATCATTGTTTCTATGATTATTATAACTAACTAACTTTAATCCAAATTTTAAAAAAGCAAAAAAAATAGGTCGACGTAATTCAATAATCCGAATTAATAAACCATTCTAACAATACGATCGAATAAATTTATAACAAGCGTATTAATCTAATATCTAGTAGCTATTATTCGAAATCCCTTCGATCGGAATTTCGATGACGCACGTTCGCGAAGGTACGTATATACATACATACATACATACATATATACATATATACATATATATATATATATATGTATATATGTACGTAACGATGAATTTTGCTCGAAGCAAGAGAAGCAACGTCGATGCGCGCTCGTGCACGCGCGTGCGTAGATTGTTGGCTTTCTATATAGACGCAATAAAATGTGCAAATGAGCTTTCGTAATTTCAATGAAAGAAAGTCTAATTTTTATGAAATGTCATTTAAAACAAAAATAATCATTTGTTATCGATCAATGATAATTCAGATAATCATTCTTTTCCTGTTTTCTTTTCTTTTTTCTTTCCTTTCTTTTCTCTTTTTTCTTCTCTTATCTTCGTTTTACGATCTATAGGATTTAAATGCGATGTCACGTTTTTGTTTCGCACAAGTTTCGGGAAAAAAAAAAAGAAACGAGGGAAAAAGAAAGTGGGAATGGAGGAGAGAGGGAGAGAGAGGGGGAGAGAGAGAGAGAGAGAAATTGAAAAGCCAAAAAAAAGTAAGAGAGAAAAATGGAGAGGGAGAGAGAGAGAGAGAAATTGAAAAGCCAAAAAAAAGTAAGAGAGAAAAATGGAGAGGGTGAAAAAAGAAAAGAAGAGAGATAAAAAAAAGACAAAAAAAAAAAGAAAAAAAAACAGAACTTCTCTTACGATCTCAAATGCGCTAGAAAGCTAATTGTAAGTGACTCCCGTGTTCTATACGGAACAGAAAAATCTTAGGGCGTATTAGAGCCTTCCCGAGTGTAAAGTGGGTCACCCGTTGCACTGCGGTATCCTCCGATGTATATCAAGCGACCGCTCGTTTACAGCCATTTCCAAACGAGCGTGCCGCTTCGTACTCCAAAGCAAAACCCTCTGCTATTCTTCTTTCGAAACAAGCCGAGTTTGTATTTACTTCTTCTTCGTAACGTCCTCGAATAGTATATATATATATATATATATATATATAGTGGCACACAAATATATAATACATACACACCGCTTTAGCTAGACAATCAGACACGTTGAACGAATTAAATGTTGCACATCTTACGGTAGAAGGTCGGTATCTTTTAAATGATATACGCCTCGCTAATTTTATCATTTCCTCGCTGCGATACCATCGACGAAAAAAAAAAAAAAAAAAAAAAAAAAAAGAAATAGAGAGGGGAAAAAAAACAAAAAGAAAAATAATCGTGGCGCGTCGTCCTCTTTATTTCTTTTTTATTTTCCATTTTCTCTTTCTTCTTTCCTTTTTCGTAATCATGAGATTTATACAA